TGCCTGTACAAGAGAGTCACCATGTATCCACTTGAGAGGGCCATGAGCCCCAACAAGCAGATGTCTTGTAAGGTCCTCAGTACAAACTGCATGTACCTAAGGAAGTGAATCATGGGGCGAAGTGAGCAGGATTCAGTGATATGTAGAAGATGGGCTGCGGTCACATTGGGGGTGGCAACAGTGGACACTAAGACGTAACCACTAATGAACATGTTGAAGACCCACAGGAAGAGAATGCAATACAGGTTGTGATGGGATGATTGAAGTTTGAACTTTGCCAAATAGGAGTTTCTGGGGCTGAGGGTGATGGCCTGGAGGACACTCAGCAGGCAGGTGGTACAAATGGAGAGGCCCCTCATCAAACTGTACAGGTAGACAACCAATTTACATTTGATGTCATCCCAAGTTTTCTGAGACCCAAAGGTGTCTGTAGCCATAAATGCCACGGTTAGTAGCATGACTATGTGGATTAGGGCCAAGTGACCAATGGTCAGGTCAGTGGACTTGGGTCTGTGCTCAAGAAGGAAGTTGTGGGCATGGAAGAGAAGAAGGATGGTGTTGGCCAAGATCCCAATGTCAACTTCAGAGAAAAAGGCATTTCTTATGTCAATGAAACTGGAAAGTCTATTTTTATTCATCTTTGTGGAGGAAAATAAGCACGTAGTAAATACCTGTGGAGAAACTCAAGAAAAACTCTTCTTCACAAATATGACCAGTATCAGCCCCCTCAGCTGGCACTCTTGCCACCATCTGAATGGGTGGGTTGGACTCCCCTGGTGGTCCACTGGCTAAGGCGCTGAGCTCCCAATGCAGAGGGCCCGGGTTCCATCCCTGGTCAGGGAACTAGATCCCACGTGCCATAATTAAGAGTTTACATGCCGTAACCAAGACCAGGTGCAGCTACATAGATTAATGAATATTAAAAATGAGTAGGTGGGTTGATCCCAATTTATACTTTACCACTATTCAGTGCACAAGACTGCGTCACTTACCCTCTGCCCAAATACCACCCCCAATATTTCTCTAGTCTCACTACTTCCCAGGCTTCACTGGTTTGTGTATCTTATTGCTGTACTTGCATAGTACCTGAGATTTCCTCTATAGTAAAAAATGGTTTGCCTTTTATCTGCAGAAACGTGATATAATGCTACATATATAAAAAGAGCTCTATCATTTTTGTTGAATTAGAATGAGGAGAAATGCCTACAGGTGGACATCAGGTCCTCTTAAACAAAGGGTGTTAACTAGATCACGATGCACAGAGTTGTTTTATCTCAGTTCTATCTTTCCTCTAGTTTATTGATTGTCAGACCAAATATACAAAGACTAAATGTTGAGAGGCATGGTCCCTGAAGAGGCAGCTTGAAATAAAATGTGTGATTGGACATTGAGCACAAGTGTGACTCCAAGCAGCCACTTTACGTCTGATCCTCAATTATTTATCTCTTGTGTAGAACATGGTAAACCACATTACCTCTATGCTAGAGATATTATGAGAATAAGCAGATGAAGCATGCCAACTGGAGAAGAGTGTGTGATGTGTAAGAGTCTCTATAGAAATGTTAGATACTGTTTTTAGTATTATGTAGTTCCTCATACATGTGACTTGGGAGAGTTGGCACAGTTCTCTTAATTCCTAAGCTCTGCTCCTGCCTCAGGGGAGAGGGGGAATCACTACCAAAACTGTGGACCATTTAAAAAATATCTGTTCATAGGGCCCTGATGGGAGTGTTGCTCTTTTCTTGGAGTGCTGCTCAAAGATAACTTCACATCCTACATATATTTCATTATCTAACCTGAAAACACTACTTTATGACTCTTTGAGTTGTCAGTCATTAGCAGGAACAGATTTCTTTTCTCTCCATCCTTTGACTTGTGGTACCAGGGTGAGTAAAATATAACAGTTTAAATAGATTCTGGGTTGTTTTCTTTGCAGGTTTTAATTAGAAATCTGATGTTCACCCCAACCTGAAGGAGGTTTCTTTCATAGGGCTTCAATACAGGAATTCAAGCATGCAGGTGTCCTTTAAGCAAGCAGTGCTATCTCGCTAGTCAGGAGGACCAAGCATACAGTTTATACTCAAGAATTTGGTGATAGCCTACAGGGATATTTTATCTGTGCAATGCAAGTATTTAATTTAAGTCAAGCCTTATAAACATGAGGTACATAGCATCATAAAATGGCTTTAGACATTTTCACAGATCTGTTACGTGTACATCAGGAGTATGGGGCTGTAATATTTTCACGGGTACTTAGCAAGAAGCTCTCTGATGTTTACTTGCTCTGGACGTGCTGTGCTGTTCTTAGTCGCTCAGTCGTGTCCAGCTCTTTGCGACTCTGTGGACTGTTCTCCACCAGGCTCCACCATCCGTGGGACTCTCCAGGCAAGAGCACTGGAGTGCGTTGTCATTCCCTTCTCCAGGGCATCTTCCCGACCCAGGGATCGAACCCAGGTATCCCGTGTTGCAGGCAGATTTTTTACCAGCTGAGCCACCAGGGAAGCTCATGAATACTGGAGTGGGTAGCCTGTCCCTTCCCCTGGGGATCTTCCTGACCCAGGGATTGAATTGGAGTCTCCTGCATGCCAGGCAAATTCTTTACCAGTTGAGCTACCAGGGAAGCCCCAAATTATCTCTAGGTTACTTATAATACTTAAAACAATGTAAATGCTATGTAACTAGTTGCCAGCATGTGGCAAATTCAAGTGTTGCTTTTTGGAATTTTCTGGAGTTACAAAAAGTATTTGCCACCCTGGTTGGTTGAATCTGTGGATATGAAACTCACACATACAGAGGACTGACTGCATTATGAAGATATGTAGCCATTTCTGTGCTAACATAGTGGTTTTTTTTAGAAAACATCCTGGAGGATTTGAATATTTCATAGACACAGGTTAAAAGAAGAGAAGAGAGGACGTGCACTTTTTCATCTGCAACAGGATCATAATAATGCACACTTATTAGGGTGGAGATGATGTGTAAATAATATGTTTAATGTCAGCACTTAGGAATTGGCCTGAGACATGTGAAAGAGCGTGTATATTTTGGTTTATCATTATTTTATAAGTCAGCTTCATCTTTGTTATTACATTTGTTATCCACAAATCAAACTAAAATGGTCCAAAGGCATTTATAAGATGCAGTTGATCATGTACCATTCTAGTGGGTTTGGGGCTGCGGGTATATTCTCTACCTTGAGGGTATATTCTCTACCTTGAAGCACAACTGTTGCTGGAAAACTGCAAAGAGAACTGTAGAGAACCAGCTAGCCCTCTCAGGAAAGCCCAAGCATCAGCTAGATGTCAGTGCGGTGTGCAGAGCATCTGTGACATTTATAAACCCCAGAATGAGGAAGAAAAACCTGGGGAGTATGTGAGTTGATGGATGGCAGCTACTTCTCAGAAAACATGGGCGAGAATGATCTATTGATTTTCCTAAGTGAAAGGATTGTGAAGTCCAATCTCAGGTGTTCACTTGAACCGCAGTATTTATAGTGTAAATATTTTTTATCTATTATGAGAAGAGTAATTATTTTTCTAATTAAAGGAACATTAAAACTCCAGAGGCACTACATGTCACAAATATTAAGTTGTCAAACCTCAGGAACACAAAGAGTCCTGTGTAGGACGTGGTTTCCCTAATCAACCAAAGGCAAAATAAGAGCAGAAAGTCTTTCTTGCTGAACTGCTTTCACTTTCATCTGGCGTCACAATCTTGGTATTTTAGGGGGGAAGGAGATTTAGTAGAAGGGAGGTTGGTTCACAGTTATCTGTTTACTATAACTGTATGATAAGATACAGTTTGAAAAGTAAAATGTATTTCCCACCACAGGTAAAAAATATTTCTGTGAATGTTTACGGTGATGCATGTTAACTAGACTTACTGTGGTGATCATTTTACAACATATACAAATATAAATTACTAATAGAGTGTGTGCCAATTATGCCTCAATTGAAAAATCACAAAGAAAAGAAAAAGAAAATGTAAAACCCAAGCATAGAGATAAGGGTTATAATTTTCTTCCTAATGAAATTTGTTCTGGCATATCCATTACCAATGGAAATCTTTTAATGAATATGAAATAATATATGGATTAAAGATAAACAAATGGATCCAAATAGTCTTTCTCCTTACGAGTTTCTGGGAGATAATATCCTTAGACCAACATAGGAAATCTCTATCATCATCATCACTTTATTTTCTTAATTTTTAATATAATTGCAGCCTCACTTTCACTGTTCTGTGATTTGAAGTTTTCTAGCTGCTAAAACATAGGTTTAAGTACTGACACCATTGACATCTGTGGTATTAAAACCAAGACAAAAAAAGTATTCATGAAAAAATACTGTAAATATTTTACAGTTATGCAAGGTTAAAGTCTCTTTATGAAACAATTTTTTGAACAAAGAACCAACTTTCCTCATAAGGAATCTAAATTTTAAAGATTATACCAACTACAGAAGACACAATAAATAGTTTTAGTTGCTTCTAGAAGAGAATTAAACTGAGTATGTTTAATTAAAAACCAGAGCTAAAATTTACCCTTTCATGATGAGTATAAATATGAATTAGTAAAATTTCAGTCTAAAATTAGCAGATAATATAATCATATGTAACTTCAGAACTGATACAGTTAACAAGTGAAAGTCATTTTATTCAGAAAAATTGAATGGGTACCTAAAATTAACTGACTAGTCATTTGAGAATCAAGTAATTTTTATGAGTCATCAAATTAAATGATAAGTATATTTAGAATGTTCATATTGCCTTGTAGACAAAGCAGTCCTCTGAACTGTGGTAGATGGCTAGCTGGATGCCTAAACTGAGGCTACCAAAAAGCCTCACTGTAGACCTGATTTCCTCCTTCCATGCCCTGTCTAGATCCTACCCACACACCAAATCTGAGTGTGTGGAATAAAGAGGCACTTACCCAGATGCGTGTGGGGTGATGTGTGTATGTGAGAAGGACCCGCACAGTTTTAAGGCAAGGATGTCATTACCTCATCTCTCTGCAGGCCTGTAATTTTAGTGTCTGTAGAAATGTGACAAGATCTGGCTGGGGACAGCAGAACCATCGTGTCCCCAGTGGAACGTTTTACTTGTCCCTTGACTTGATTCTCTCTTGGAAAATAACAAGCTGGGAAGATTTGAGCTCAAAACTTTTCCACCCATTCCCTTGCCACATCTGCATGGAGGGGTGAAAGGTCACAGAACCAAGTTCTCTCATTTTCATCCTGAGATCAAATTAGTGTTATCTCACTCCAGACTTTGTAATGTCACTCTCAGGGGTGAGAGGTTTCTGGTGCCTCACATGAGTTCACGGTGGCTCTGTGTGTGCTGTCCCCACAACGTCTGATGGGCACCTTCTTCCTGGGGTTGATTCTCAGGAGGGCACATGGTTTCTGGGTGTTATTGTCCTTTTATTCCATGATTCCTATTCTATCAGTTTCATACTGGATTAGTTGCTAAGTTGTGTCCAACTTTTGTGATCCCATGAACTGTAGTCCACCAGGCTCCTCTGTCCATGGGAATTCTTCAGGCAAGAATATGAAGTGAGTAGTTGTTTCCTTCTCCAGGAGATCTTCCCAACCCAGGGATCACACTTGGGTCTCCTGCATTGCAGGCGAATTCTTTACCAACTGAAACACCAGGGAAGCCTAGTTTCAGATTAAATAAGATTTAAAGGATCCCTATGGCCATAGGTGAAGGCAGCAGAAACCCTTTGGAGCCAATTTCTTTTCATTTTCCACGATTTCCTAAATTAGCCCCAAAATGTGATATAAGGACCCATCCCCTGTATGTTAATGGCCCTTTCTGAGATGGAATACACATTCTGAAAAGATTTGGGAACCCTTTGCATTCTGTGACCGAGGCACTGAGAAACCCAGCTCCTGATTCTTCTGGAGCAACAAGTGAGAACTATATTGTTATCATCCAGTGTGGAGCTGTCAGTACATTTTCTGGCAGTAGAAGTACCTCAGAATTCAGTGGCACAGTTTATAAAAGCAAAAATTCCACACAGTTGGATCTTGAGTGACTCTTAGCTTTTCTTTTTCAATTAAATTCATTAGGAAGGGAACCAGAAAAAAAGACCAGTTTCTGCCCATTCAAAGAAGTTAAAAAAGAAAATTAAAATGCTCAGGAAAAAAATTACTATGTACCTACAGATGGTAAAGAGTCTGCCTGCGATGCAGGAGACCCGGGTTCTATCCCTGTGTTGGGAAGACCCCCTGGAGAAGGAAATGGCAACCACTCTTGTAGTCTTGCCTGGAAATCTCATGGATGGAGGAGCCTGGCAGGCTACAGTCCATGGGGTCGAAAAGAGTTGGACACAACTGAGTGACTTCACTTTCACTTTACCTAGACTAAGTACATACCGCTAATATTTGATAAACTGAGTCTTCATAATAAAGGACTATAAAACCACATGTCTTTCAGCACTGTGTGGACTAACACAGACCATGACCTGTGAGGTCCACCACTTAGGTCTGCACTTGCTGTCTATGTTCAGAAATGTAGAAACTTTATCTGTGGTTGCTAGTCAGACATACTGAACAACAAGGGGAAACCATGAAAGGGAGTGGGAGTGGTAACCACACATGCAAAACCAGTAGGTTCTCTCCCCCAACCGTGTCAACCAGATATCACATAGCAAACATGTCAGTCAACTACCTTTGGCTTTTTCTTGTGCACTGTCTGTAAGGAAGTAATTAAAATCATGAGAAGCCTACTTTTTGCTTATTTTCCAAAGTTTGAGCAAAAAAAAAAAAATCTTGTCTCACTTTTTGACATTGACCAAGACAATTCCAAAGATCTGACCTGGAAATGAAAAAAATCATTCTCAGTTTTTTCTTTATTATTCTTGCATTCCAGTATTGATGTTATTTTAACAATTTATTATAGAAGATGTAAAATGTAAAACCTGCAGAATAATTCAGTGAGCGCTCATTAACAGCTTTGATAGTTATGCTCTTTCTGTCATTTGCATCTTCATCCACTGCCCACCATCCCAATATTCATCACCACTTTACAGTTCATTTTCAGTTCAGTTCAATTCAGTCGCTCAGTTGTGTCTGACTCTTTGTGACCCCATGAACTGCAGCACACCAGGCCTCCCTGTCCGTCACCAACTCCCAGAGTTCACCCAAACCCATGTCCATTGTGTCAGTGATGCAATCCAACCATCTCATACTCTGTTGTCCCCTTCTCCTGCCCTCAATCTTTCCCAGCATCAGGGTCTTTTCCAATGAGCCAGCTCTTTGCATCAGGTGGCCAAAGTATTGGAATTTCAGCTTTAGCAATCAGTCCCTCCAATGAATATTCAGGACTGATTCCCTTTAGGATGCACTGGTTGGATCTCCTTGCAATCCAAGGGACTCTCAGGAGTCTTCTCCAACACCACAATTCAAAAGCATCAATTCTTCGGAGCTCAGCTTTCTTTATAGTCCAACTCTCACATCCATACATGACCACTGGAAAAACCATAGCCTTGACTAGACTGACCTTTGTTGGCAAAGTAATGTCTCTGCTTTTTAATATGCTGTCTAGGTTGGTCATCTTTGCATGAAATGTTCCCTTGGTATCTCTAATTTTCTTGAAGAGATCTCTAGTCTTTCCCATTCTGTTGTTTTCCTCTATTTCTTTGCACTGATCACTGAGGAAGGCTTTCTTATCTCTCCTTGCTATTCTTTGAAACTCTGCATTGAAATGGGAGTATCTTTCCTTTTCTCCTTTGCTTTTCGCTTCTATTCTTTTCACAGCTATTTGTAAGGCCTCCGCAGACAGCCATTTTGCTTTTTTGCATTTCTTTTCTATGGGGATCGTCTTAATCCCTGTCTCCTGTACAGTGTCACAAACCTCCATCCATAGTTCATCAGGCACTCTATCAGATCTAGTCCCTTAAATCTATTTCTCACTTCCACTGTATAATCATAAGGGATTTGATTTAGGTCATACCTGAATGGACTAGTGGTTTTCCCTACTTTCTTCAATTTAAGTCTGAATTTGGCAATAAGGAGTTCATGATCTGAGTCACAGTCAGCTCCCTGTCTTGTTTTTGCTGACTGTATAGAGCTTCTCCATCTTTGGCTGCAAAGAATATAACCAATCTGATTTCAGTGTTGACCATCTGGTGATGTCCATGTGTAGTACCCTGCTTATTTAACTTAGATGCAGAGTACATCATGAGAAACTCTGGGCTGGAGGAAGCACAGGCTGGAATCAAGATTTCCAGGAGAAATATAAATAACCTCAGATATGCATATCACACCACCCTTATGGCAGAAAGTGAAGAAGAACTAAAGAGTCTCTTGATGAAGGTGAAAGAGGAGAGTGAAAAAGTTGGCTTAAAGCTTAACATTCAGAAAACTAAGATCTTGGCATCTGGTCCCATCACTTCCTGGCAAATAGATGGGGAAACAGTGGAAACAGTGGCTGATTTTATTTTTTTTAGGCTCCAGAATCACTGTAGATGGTGATTGCAGCCATGAAATTAAAAGACGCTTACTCCTTGGAAGGAAAGTTATGACCAACTTAGATAGCATATTAACAAGCAGAGACACTACTTTGCCAACAAAGGTCCGCCTAAGGCTATGGTTTTTCCAGTGGTCATGTACGGATGTAAAAGTTGGACTGTGAAGAAAGCTGAGCGTCGAAGAATTGATGTTTTTGAATTGTGGTGTTGGATAAGACTCTTGAGAGTCCTTTGGACTGCAAGGAGATCCAACCAGTCCATCCTAAGGGAGATCAGTCCTGGGTGTTCATTGGAAGGACTGATGCTGAAGCTGAAACTCCAATACTTTGGTCACCTGATGCAAAGAGTTGACTCATTGGAAAAGACCATGATGCTGGCAGGGATTGGGGGCAGGAGGAGATGGGGACGACAGAGAATGAGATGGCTGGATGTCATCACCAACTCGATGGACATGAGTTTGACTAAACTCTGGGAGTTAGTGATGGATAGGGAGGCCTGGCGTGCTGCGATTCATGGGGTCGCAAAGAGTCGGACACGACTGAGTGACTGAACTGAACTGAGGTTGGTCATAACTTTCCTTCCAAGGAGTAAGCATCTTCTAATTCCATGGCTGCAATCACCATCTGCAGTGATTTTGGAGCCCAGAAAAATAGTCAGCCACTGTTTCCCCATCTGTTTGCCATGAAGTGATGAGATCGAAAGTCATGATCTTGGTTTTCTGAATGTTAAGCTTTAAGCCAACTTTTTCACTCTCCTCTTTCACCTTCATCAAGAGACTCTTTAGATCTTCTTCACTTTCTGCCATAAGGGTGGTGTCATCTGCATATCTGAGGTTATTGATATTTCTCCTGGCAATCTTGATTCCAGCCTGTGCTTCCTCCAGCCCAGAGTTTCTCATGATGTACTCTGCATATAAGTTAAATAAGCAGGGTGACAATATACAGCCTTGACATACTCCTTTTCCTATTTGGAACCAGTCTGTTGTTTCCTGTCCAGTTCTAACTGTCGCTTCCTGACCTGCATACAGGTTTCTCAAGAGGCAGGTCAGGTTGTCTGGTATTCCCATCTCTTTCAGAATTTTCCACAGTTTATTGTGATCCACACAGTGAAAGGCTTTTGCATAGTCAATAAAGAAGAAATAGATGTTTTTCTGGAACTCTCTTGCTTTTTCAACGATCCAACGATGTTGGCAATTTGATCTCTGGTTCCTCTGCCTTTTCTAAATCCAGCTTGAACATCTGGAAGTTCACGGTTCACGTATTGCTGAAGCCTGGCTTGGAGAATTTTAAGCATCACTTTACTAGTGTGTGAAAGTGAAAGTGAAGTCGCTCAGTCGTGTACGAGGTCGTGGACTGTAGCCTACCAGGCTCCTCCCTCCATGGGATTCTCCATGCAAGAGTAATTGTGTGGTAGTTTGAGCATTCTTTGGCACTGCCTTTCTTTGGGATTGGAATGAAAACCGACCTTTTCCAGTCCTGTGGCCACTGCTGAGTTCTCCAAATTTGAGTGCAGCACTTTCACAGCATCGTATTTCAGGATTTGAAATAGCTCAACTGGAATTCCATCACCTCCACTAGTGGTTTCAATTTATTGTTTAAATGT